TGTATTCTGTATTTTATAAGGAGCATGTGCAGTGCAGCTAATACAGCAGTAATATGATCTTGTTTCCCAATGTTTGTCAATACAGATGCACATACACATTGGATACAGCCGTAAAATCCAGCCTTGAAGTAAAAATGCAAAGTCTAGTTTTTTTCAGCAAAGTTTTTGTGTGGCCTGATTTTTGCAATGTTAACTCTGTATATGTCTGTCCTCCAGAAAGCTGTCCGCTGTCCAACACCAGCTTCCCTCACGTCCTACCCCTCCTTTCTCTGCTGGAGAAGAGCATGGCGGTGGGTGAGGGGACAGAGCCGTGGGAGGTGGCGGAAGCCGGGGTGGATGTGGTCATGTTCCACCTGGGGGCGGCGAGGACCATCGCTCAGCTCGGGGGAATCTATCGCTCCAACGCTGAGAGCAAACTACAAGGTAAGAGAGTAGAGAGAGATGCGCTGTTGATCAAAACTTGTAAGAATTCATGACATTGCTGAATAGCAGACATTTTGCAAATACTTTGAAGACTTTGAACTTTCTAACTTTGGTCGCTAATGGTGTTGTAACAAAAAATATATAGTTTCCTTATGCAACATAGTGACATCACTATGTTACATTTCTATTGGCTAGCACTTTTACACATTGTACATGACACGCGGTTGGCCAATCACAACAGAGCTAGCCAGCTAACCAATCAGAGCAGACTGGGCTCTGGTTTCAGACAGAGGGTGAAAAGAGGTGCTGCAGCACAGGCAGTATGAGAAAAATAAAGAGCTGTTTGAACATTAAAGCATGGAAACATGTCCCAGTAGAGACACTACATACAAATATGAACCTGAAAGTGAGCAGAATAAAGCCCCTTTAATACTTTTTATTTAACTGAATTATATCACTTTTAACGTAATAATACAATTATGTCAACTCTGATGACAAAATAAATTGAATTGAAGTCAACTTGTCTCGGTACTGTTTTTTTGTTTAGTTTTTTTATTTACACAGCCAGAGGAGTGAGATGTCTGTTTCCAAGTTGTGTTTCTCCTGAATTTAGTATTAAAATAATATATTTATTTTCTAAATAAGGTTCAAACTTATGAACTAAGAAAATCAGTTATTGAAATCAAATTGTGAACTCTGCAGTCGATCCACTGATGGTAACCTCTTCTTGATTGGTTGCAGGTTTTCAGGGTCAGGCGGAGGTCCTGGAGCTCTTCCTGACCGATTTCCAGATGAGGCTGCTTTGGGGGAGCAGGGGAGCCGAGGAGAGCCAAGTTCTGCGACACGCCAAGTTTGACCAGGTGCTGACCGCCTTGTCCAACAGGCTTGAGCCACCTGTCAGACCACGCTGACCCCAGACCTGTTTTTGAATAACTGTTTTATGTGCTTTGTGTTCTTACAAAATCACTTTATTCTCATTTACCATTCAGCTTATTTACCCATTTTGATTTACATCACGCTATGTCCCAATATGTCAAAGCCAGAGAACTTCATCTAGCCCGTATCGGAACCAAAATGTGAAGGGAATATATCAGTGTAAATATGTGCAACTGTGTCGAGTTATTTTGCTTTTCTTCTGCAGAAGAAACAGGAAGTCGTGGTAAATAGTTTCTGAAATGAGGCTGTGCCTTGGTCTGTTAGCTTAATGTATAGTACGTTTTTATGTCTTCCTGAAGGCTGGACCTTCCTTAACAAAAAGACCATACAAAGTGTGTGTCATATTGTACAACGCAATAACAGAATAACATTTTATCTCCATTTTAAATATTATGTTTATCATCATGTGTTTATCATAAGGATATTCTAATGTGAAGTAAATACATAATGTGATGTGATTAGTGGTATTGTAACCAGTGCTAGGGTCAGTTCACAACTCTTTTGTTTAAACTTCCCTTTTCTTACTCATTACTCTTACTTCTTTTAATACCACTATATGAATTGGAAGTGATTGAACTGACTCTAACCACACACTCACAGTACACAGGTACAGATCATGTCCATAACCTTATTAATAATGTCTCATATTTATCTGAAATGTAAATAAACATGTTTACCTCACTGTTTGTCTAATACTGTCATATTTTTCTGTCAGTTACAAGTGAGAATAAATGTGGGGTTTTTAATGTTCTTTGAGGTGATGAAATTACATTACATTACATTACATTGCATTTAGCTGACGCTTTTATCCAAAGCGACTTACAATAAGTACATTCAACCAGGAAGACACAACCTTGAAGAAAACAGAATCATATAAGTACATCAGGTTTCATAGAGCCAAACATTTCAAGTGCTACTCAACTGGCTTTAGATAAGCCAGTCCTTTATTAGTATATAAGTGCTTCGTTAATAGTTCTAACGCTCGAAGTGGAGTCGAAAGAGATGAGTTTTCAGTTTGCGCCGGAAGATGTGCAAGCTATCTGCTGTCCTGATGTCAATGGGGAGCTCATTCCACCATCTTGGAGCCAGGACAGCAAACCCACGTGTTTTTGCTGATGGGAACTTGGGTCCCCCTCGCAGCGAGGGCGCAACGAGTCGTTTGGCTGATGCAGAGTGTAGTGCACGCGCTGGGGTGTACGGTTTAACCATGTCCTGGATGTAGGAAGGGCCAGATCCATTCACAGCACGGCAAGCAAGTAGCAAGTAAATTGAGGTTGCAAATGGATCTGTATTGTTGCTAGATTTTGTGTGTATTTGGAATAAAGCACAAGGGGAATATATCACAACAACCTTTCCAAAATCAGGCCAGGTTTTTCAGATCAGTTTTTCAAGTCGGGCCAATTTAATGAATATATTAAATTCATTAAAGGTCCCATGTCCTGGCCATTTCTACTGATCATAATTCCATTGTTGAGGTCTACTAGAATAGATTTATATTGTGCAATGTTCCAAACTCACATTGGTTTCTCATACAGCATCTCTGTATAGTATGTGTATTCACTCTCTGTCCTAAACGGCCTGTTGAAGCTCCTGCCCCCCCTCCCTATGAGCCCACTGTGCTCTGATTGGTCAGCTCGCCCACTCTGTTCTGATGAGTCCACCACCGTTACAGCGGAACATCAGTGATTACGTTTTACAATAGCGTTTGTTGGCAACCAGAAAATGACACCAGTAATGACAAACAGATGAGAATGCTGCATGGGGTCTGAGTGCCGTGTTGGCGGGACGATGCAGGGCTCGCTGCTCCGCCCTTTGAGACTCGAGGAGCGGACAGTGAGAGGTGGATTACTGGTGTCGTTTCCTGGTTGCTGTGTGGGGTCTGCGAGACAGCGAGACAGTGAGACACCGCGGAACTCAGCAGGCCCGGCTCCAGAACAAAATGACTCAGGGTGCATCTGAGATTAGAGAGGGTGCAGTGGTAAAGTGCTATTTTTACAAGTGGGGAGTGGACCTACAGTAACACCCTCTAGGGGGGTCCTCACCTCCTGTAGGAGGGTCTTCACCTCCTCTAGGGGGGTCTGGGGGCTTGCTCCCCCGGGAAGATTTGTTTTTAATATTGAAGTTCATCAATCAATCTGGTGCACTTTGAGAGCAAAATGAAGAGATCTATGGATACATGTCAACACCCATATGAAACAGAACTGTAAACAGATTTTTTTTTTCTTTATGGATATTTTACAAATCACTCCCCTTTTAAGACCGAAATGTCTACATGCATAGCAGAAGATGGCATCTTTTTTACAGGAATATTCCAGCCAATCTCTGTTTTGAAACCATGAGCTGCAAAATGAGCGCCTTACCCCACTGTACAGGCGAGTTGGGTACTTGTTTAAATATACCTGGGCAGGCTCTGTTTTGCCGAGGTCCTCTGGCACTTGCGGACCGCCCAGGGGTGGCGGTGTTTGGGGCAACGAAGACGGCTGCGGCTGCTCCGCCTCCGTGGGCGAGGCGGGCAAAGCCGGCGAGTCGGGCGGGAGGACGTTAGTGTCCACTGTCCACGACATCATCATTGACTGCTGTGTAAGCACCTTGCAGATGACGAACGCGCAGCGGCACAGGTCACGCGGACCTGACATAATAACATTACTTACCGTTTAAATTGACCAAATAAATGCAGCAGACAATGTTATTTAACCACAATTACAATTTATTTTATTTCAACTATATTCTTATTCTTATTATTCTTATTACTATTATTATTATTGTTATTATATATGTAATATCTTTCACTTTTTTTTTGAGGGTGCATAATGACTCAACTGAGATAAACACCCTTATGCACCCACGTAGAACCGGGCCTGGAACGCAGCCTAGTGTGTGCGGAGATCTGCGGAGCCGCGGCTGAGAAAATATAAGGCTGAGTGTGTGTGTGTGTGTGTGTGTGTGTGTGTGTGTGTGTGTGTGTGTGTGTGCGCGCGCGCGCGTGCGTGCGTGTGCGTGTGTGTGCAGAGCTCCGCGGATTGGTCCATTTGGTCGGTGTTACGTCACTATGGCCACGAAGAAAAAAATGTAAAAAGAGAAATCTCCAACGAGGCGTTTTGGGGCAGCACAGACAGGTATTTTCTGTGTTAGAGTTGTACTCGCTACAGGGTGTACTTTGAGGGTTTGTGACTTTGCAGACCGTTTACATGCATAAAAAGCGAACACACAAGGGGACGGGTAATAACCGGAAAAGCTCATGGGACCTTTAAACACCAATATGGCTCCATAAAAGATCATTTTTACATTAATAGCACCCTCTACTGTATAAATTACCTTTTTGGATAAGGTTTTATTTTTAGGGTGCATTATTTCTATAAAACATTACAGTTTATTTTAAAAATAACTCTAATTTTCTGGTTTAATTATTGATTGCTTAAATAATATATTGCATTTTACCATAATGTCCAACATCATCTCGTACATAGTATTTGTTATATCACTTGTGTAATAAAAGACTGCACATAAAGTGATAAGTATAGTGAGTATTTTTCCAGATGTTGTGTTTATCCGCTGTGTATTCTGGACTGTGACTGCGATCCTCCAACGTGGCCAACACACGATACCGGTTCCAGATGCTTTCTGGGAAATGAAGTCGTTACTATCATTTCTGGTACGTGTTTCTGGACGACTTCCTCGAAATTAAGAAACTACCAAACTAACCGGTTGTCGTTAGCAGAAGGGCCATTCCGGTTTCCTGTCTGCCAGCAGGCAGCCAACATGTTGGCCATCCTGTCTGTGCTGCTATTATACATTTGTAACCCCGTTGTTGGTGTTTGGTATCAGCAAGTCTACTGCAGTATATCAGAAAGCTGTGAGTGCGACTTTAAGCCACATATCAGAGGTAAGACCAGATATGTATGTCGTAGCTTGCTCACGTTAAGTAATGGGTGCTGCTTTCTGTCAGTCAGCTGGCTTAGTTTAACATGGAAAGTATCTATAGGCAGGTTGTTTCAGCCAATTGTGTCATACATTATATGTTTTGTTCGTGTACTGAAACTGTTAAATAACTGAGGTTGTCACGAAGAGCTACCTTATACTGTAGTCACGTTAGCTGTTATGCTAGCTAGCATAACACAGGATGTGTTCTCTCACATTGCAGATACTGTTTAAATAGATTGGAACAAATCATTGTTTTGCAAGTAGCTAAGTCTTATCTGTAGCTGAATTGTGTTATAATACTGTTGAAAATGTGACACTTAAACAGTATTTGTTGAGAAAATCTAATTAAATTTGGCAATCTAGACATACGAAGTCCAATTCCAAGCAACAGATATCCTGAGCTTGAAAATGATCTTTTTGGATTTTTAGAGGGTTATAAATGACCAAAGTCATGGGACAGAAGCCGTAAGGATCGTCATCTTATGTAACATCATCAGCCATAAGGAATTCCCCCAGAAAGTCAATCAATCAATCAATGTTTATTTATATAGCCCAATATCACAAATGTTACATTTGTCTCAGTGGACTTTACAGTTTGTACAAAATATCAGTATGACAATACGTAATCAATCAATCAATGTCGTAGTGTTTTCCTGTCTTTAAAGGTCTTGTAGCTCCGGGTAAAGACAAATAAGTGTTGAGAATAACTTAACCAATCATTTAACAATAACATCAAACAAATCTTTATTCCCTTAATTTCAGATCTGGAGTGGGACCTTTACAAGAATGTTTATGGACAACATCTGGCTCAGGACATAGTGTCAGAAGAGGTGGCGAAGTTCCTTCAGAATAAAAGCCCCGAGCGGCCCCTGGTGCTGTCTTTCCATGGCGCCTCTGGGACGGGGAAGACCATGGTCAGCGCCATGCTGGGAAATCATCTGTACAGCTCTGCGATGAGCAGCCCGTACGTCCATCAGTTTGTTCCCACGCTGCACTTCCCCTTACCTGACCGAGTCAAGGAATACAGGGTAGGTTAGAGGTCATTAGGCAGTGTTCATCTTTATCTCATCATCACGAGTATAATCAAAGATAAGAAACAATTAGGTGTGTCTTTATTAGTGGTGGGAATTGATAAAAGAATGTAATGGCGTTAATCACAATAGTGAATAATCATGATTAATTGTTTGCAGGAGGAGTTGAAGAGTTGGGTGCAGGGGAACCTGACGGAGTGCGCTCGCTCCGTCTTCTTTTTTGACGAGATGGAGAAGATGCCTCCAGGTCTCATCGATGTTTTGGAGCCTTTCCTTGGTCCCTCCCACGTTGTGTTTCGCACGAACTACCGGAAGGCCATCTACGTCTTCATCGGGTACACACACACACACACACACACACACACACACACACACACACACACACACACACACACACTATGGGTGTAACAGTACACAGAAGTCACTGTTCAGTGCAAGTTTGTTACAGAAGGAAAAATGAATGCATGAGGATACATTTATTTTAAACGGACAGCTGTTAAATGTACGGCGGCCGACAGGTGCATGTGTTACTACAGCCAAAAAACACTTCCTTAGGAGAAATGCACTGCACTTAAAAAACTATGTAAATATAAAAACACAAATGTGCCAAAACACATACAAATGAAAAAATACTATTTTGCTCAAATCTGATAATGATGGACGACAGAAATAAGAGTTCACAGTGACTGAACTGTGAACTCCATGAGAGAGACGAGCTGTTAAAGTGTCCTATGACTTCCAACAGAAAATAGTTCCCTAATTATAAAACGTGAAAAAGGTGTGACTCGGTGTGTTGTGTGTGGTCCCCGCAGGACCACCGGAGAGGAGGTGATCAACAGAGTGGCTTTAGAGAACCGGCAGGCGGGGCAGGAGAGGGAGGACATCCAGCTGGAACACCTGCAGGAAGCCATCGCACAGGCGGTCTACAACAGCACAACAAGTGAGTGTCCTTTGATATAACTGTAAAATATTCAGAGAGGTATACAGACTGAAGAGTTGCTATATGTAAATGTGTATCCTAATAAGAAGCCTTCTCAGTGGAATGCACAATAATGAGCTCAATGTTGGAACCACTGATACCCTTTTTCCAAGAGGCAGTTCTTATACTTTGAGTCACAACCCCTTTGTTAGCATTGTAATGGCAACAAGTCCTTACTACCTACTTATACAAAAGCAATTTATAGTGAATAATTCATATTCCATAGGTTTCCCGGTTAATATCCTGTTACGTCACGCCAAAGATAATACAAGAATCATTTTGTTTGTATCCTCTAAATCTTGCTATCGATTAGTCAGACTGGCTTGGGTGTGCTATGCTAACATCATCCATGGAGGAAGAGCGAAACTTCACATGACACTATCCTTTATTTGAGCTTTTCTCGCTACATTTCCCGTTCATTCTCTTTTACCGAACTGTAGAAATATTCATTAAAGCGACAAAGGCACTGGTGGACCAGTCAGAGTGAGTGACTAGTTTCATGCGGCAGCTGGCGCGACGACACGCTAAGCTATATGCGGGTTGAGGTTGTAGCCACGTCTCTCTGAAATCAGTATAAATGATTTCTTGCAATTCAATCTACCTTCTTAAGTTTAATAGTACCTTAAGTTGTAGTCTAAGTAGTCTGCCACTTTTGTTATTGTGAGAGATATTCAGTGTGGGGGAGAGAGAATTTTGGGATTTTAGCCTTTGCAGACCATTTACATGCACACAATACCTACAAATTACAGCATAGGGAAGGGGGCCTCTTTCAGTGTATAACAAGTTGAAAACACTGCTGACCAAACTATCCCCAGCACAGAACTAGAACAGAATTAATTCCAGTGGAAAAGGGCTCTCCTGAAGCATGCTGGGTGTCTGTCAGTTGAAGCAAACTAAAGTGAGCTTCTCTCTCCAGGCGGCTTCTTCCAGTCCAGGGTGATCCAGCAGAAGCTCATCACCCGCTTCGTCCCCTTCCTGCCGCTGAGCCGACGCCACGTGGAGCGCTGCGTCCGCTCGCAGCTCTGCCAGCGGGGCAGCTGCGGCCGCACGGACGTGGTAGAGGCAGTAGGGGGCGACATGCTCTACACCCCCGCCCAGGGACAGTACTTCTCCACCACCGGCTGTAAGGCAGTCCCCGCCAAAATCAACCTCTTTCTGTGAGCCAAGGTGCAATCTGATTGTTGATTCCTAAGGAGTGAAAGGCTTTGAGGTGAGTCTGTGAAGAGGAACAGAGTCTGTCCCTCACATGGCGGTCAGAGCAGCGTCTCCGGAGCAGCGGAATTTAAATCACAGCTTCGTGTATTCAAAGCATGCTAAGGTTCCTAGAAAGCGTTGTTGGTACACGTCAAACTCTGAACATTACAAAACCAGGATTTGTGCCACGCTCTACCTCAACCACAATTCCTTTAATTGATGAACTCTAAAGGTGGTCCAGGCTTCAGCTGCAGTTGGGTTAACATCAGTTATGTCTTAAAGACTATTTATTCAGTATTTATTTAACTTCGACCAATGCCCTCCTTTCACTTTTACACAGACGCACACATTTCAGTCCCACTTCCCTCGCAGCATCCCCCCGCAGCAGCTGGAGGCTAAGTGCCTTCTGGGAGTTTTACTAAAATGGATCAGAAAAGGGTTGTTAAATTAAAAACTTCCGAATGTTTTAATGTGTTATGGAAAATATATTTACTATTTACTACTCTACTACTTTGATTACTACTACTCACTTTGCAACACATGTGAGTAGTGGGATGCAATTCCATGAGACACATTCGAAACCGGAGTTTTAGGCAGAAAATGTTTTAGCTATCGTTGGTGCTGAACCAAATCTAATAAATGTTATTAGAAATATACAATAATTATAAGGTTATCCACCAATATGTGACCTTAAATAAGAACCCATTATCATTGAAATAGCAGCTGCTTTTTAATAAATGTCATTTAGATGGGATTTCCTCCTTTCCTTTGGAGTGTCATGTCTATTTTTAAAGACATCAACAAGGAGGAAGACATCTAAAGACCTAAGAAGGGCTTTACTTGATATAGTGTTGTTGTGGATGTTGTAGTTTTTAGAGATCATCATTTCTGCACCAGAGGGCAGTAAAGACTTCCTTTTGCCAAGAGTGTGAAGCAGAGTTCACACAAAAATGATGTGTAGTTGAATTAATGTAAAATGTATTGTAAGGATGTTGCCTGTGTGTTTAATCACACTCAAAATGCACTTTACTTCTATGAAGGATACAATGGATCCGACATGGAGCCTGGAAACTAACCAGACTCCATGCACAAATCTGTCGTTTTTTGTATCTATTTGACTCTGTGTGTTCGCCTCTGAAGCCCAGACGGTAAGAGTACACTATTAGTGGAATGTAGTTTCTTTTATTTTTTGTAACCCTGCCAATAAATGACATTCTCTCGTTTTAAGTCTCACAATGAGGAGCAGACATTGTTACAGGGTTGTTACATGAACACCGAGTAACCAGTTTCAGCCGCTGAAGTGCCTGGATGCTGGTAACTAAAGCCAAATGCACATTACTGGTACTATAGTGTAATGAACAAATTAAATCTCCAAACGCACAACAAAACAATGTTCTGTTTTCTTTCTGACATTCAAAAAACATTTCCATTGAATACACTGCATGTTTGTCTAATGTCATTTGTAGGTAGTCCTACAGTTGGGCTGCTGACGGGCCCAAAGCTACTGCATCAGGAGAAACGCGCTGCAGTTTCAAAAATGATGCAAATATAAAAACACGAATGTGCCAAAACACATGCAAACGAAAAAACATCTTCACCAACTTGACAAAAACATGCGCAGCGTTCAGTGAAAGCACTGCATAAAGGAAACGCTGCAAATAAAAAAGAGCTAATACAAATGCTGCAAGAAGCTCAAAACACGATAGAGACATTATCATTGCAGATCTGTTGTAAGCTAGCTAGCTAGCTAGCTAGTTTGCCGAGTCATTTCTAATAAACTGACAAAGCACTTGAAATGATCAGACTAACTGCCGTTTGCCCCTGTCGGCCACCGTACTACAGCACCAGAGTGCCTTTCATTTAACAACAAGTTGGTTATATACACAAATCATCTTTTATAAAAACCTCATGCAGATCAAAACAGAAGCTTCTCCATCTGCATGACTTTTCGTATTTGGTTACAACTTTAAGACGAGAGAGATATGAAGTACTTCATTGATCCCAATTTGGGAAATGTTTGCGTTGCAGCAGCATAAAAAGACAAGGCATTGTACATTAGAGAAATTAAAAGACTAATAAACAATCCAAAAAGTAAACATCTCAAATAGAAATACACTTGCATTAAATAAGTAGGAAATACAAATATACAGAAACAAAATATAAAGCAGGATATTATATATAGATGAAGTGTGTAAGGAATCGAATGTTAAATTGAAAAGGGACATTAGTGTATGTTGATGCATGTTGCTCTTCGCCACCTGTCTCTGATGGGGAGGAGTGGAGCTGCTGTTGTCACAGCTGAACAGGAAGCAGAGGAGATGTGATCTCTGTCTCCTTCAGCAGGAAATTAATAGGTTCTCCATCGGAAATGAACAGGTGTCAGAGGTCTTTCAGTTGTGTGTGTGTGTGTGTGTGTGTGTGTGTGTGTGTGTGTGTGTGTGTGTGTGTGTGTGTGTGTGTGTGTGTGTGTGTGTGTGTGTGTGTGTGTGTGTGTGTGTGTGTGTGTGTGTGTGTGTGTGTGTGTGTGTGTGTGTGTGTGTGTGTGTGTGTGTGTGTGTGTGTGTGTGTGTGTGTGTGTGTGTGTGTGTGTGTGTTGTATATTTTCCTATTAACTTGAAATGATGATCACTTAAATGTTTTTAAGATTAAAAATGCATCCTTAAGGTCGAATCCTGCAGGAAAAGGAACACAGGAAGTCAGATGTCTGTCGTGAGGACGTGATTAAAAAAAAAATGTTTATGGAATTGTTTTGAGCCGTTGTAATGTGTTTGCACCTGTCGGCCACCATATACAGTGTTTAGAACAATTGTTCATATAACTACAGAATCCTCTAAAGGTTATATGTTTTTTTGTTTTTACTTTTGTGTTTCCTACCAATACTTTTTGCATTCCCCTTAAACTTAAGGACACTTGGCGCGTTGTTCAAGTTTTATGACGAACTGCCAGAAGACTGCATAATCTACAGAAATCGAGATGGTATGATGCCTTGTATGCAGGGAACCTGGTGACCACATCATGGTAATATCTGCTTTGCTCATCACTCCTCCTCAATTGGTGTCATCAAACTTTCTGCCACCTTTATGTTCCCCTCTAAAACACATTGGTTTGGTTCTTTTAAGTTCAAGTCTTTCCCTAAAATCCAAGACGAATATACAAAAATAAATGGGATTATTTTACTTTTATAGGGCTTTTATTGTGAAAGGAAAGAGCAGAAGGAGTGGATCTGTTATGCTCTGCCTTTATTGGTGTAAAAGTAAAGTTTGCCATCTTGGTTACTGAGCCACCGCTTTGGGAAGGAACAACACAACATTATTGGTTATGGACTTTATTTGTTTTGCAAAAGCTCGGAAACATGTACCTGTTACCAACAAAAAAACTTGTTTTCAGTCGTGATGCCATTCGCTTTCTGTGTGAAAATATTGAATGATTAAAAGAAAAACAAGGTGTTTCTCACTTTGAACACCTCTTTAGATTACTACCTCACAACAGCCCTGACTTTGTTTCTATGTAAACTCTTCCGACGTCTGAATGTTATCTGGTCACCTGCTGGAGGTGACCGTCCCGCCAACATTTCGGAAGCATCTCCTCGTCCTGCGACAGCACCCGTGGCCTCATATATATGCCACATCTCTCCTTGATCCTGCAGTGATGACTTCATTAACCCCCCACCAACCACCACGCAGGCTGTGTGAGGAATAGGGAGGGGTTCGAAGGTCAGCTCAGAGGCCTCTTCACCCCAGCTGCTGTATCGCCATCTCCATCCTTCTGGACAATGAGACACACACGCATACATAATAATGTGGAAAAGACCACCACACACATATATATACACACCTCTCTGACCTCTGAGCCTATTTTCACACGCTCCCTGCAGAACAGCCGGACCAGCCTCTCCAGTTGCAGAAAGGGGGGACAGTCGAGGGAGGATATCAGAAAGAGAAGCTGGTCAGCTGTCAGCTCTGTCCACTTTCTTCTATCCTTTTACTTTCTTCTTCTACTTCCACTTTCCCCTTCCTTAATCTCCCCTTTTCTCTACCTTTGCCCTCTATGCTACGTCATGACAAATCGGGTGTAAAAAGCCCCTCTCACCTCCCACTTTACCTCCTCACCCCTTCCCAACCCTCCCCTTCTCCCTCCCCTCCATCAGGGTTGGGGGGGGGGGTGGAACAATGGGACACTGCTCCTTCCTCCCCCTTCCCCACCCACCTCCACATCTGTGAGTGCCCCTCTGTCTCCTCATTCTTCTCCCTAACCGCTCCATTATTGGGCCTCTTTCACTTGTAAATGTGGCCAGCGATACTTCTGATGGGTCTTTTATGCACACGGCCGGGGTCAGGAGAAAGGTAGGGGCAGCAGAGGAGGGGGGTAGGATACAATGAGGGGGTGGGTCAGGGTTGAGGGTGGCACAGGGAGGGAGGGGGCTTTAGTTTAGGGAGTCTTGTGCTGTTTTTTTCTTGCCGGCCAGAGTGTGAGGGGACAATCATGACAAAGAGGTAAATCCTTTTTGTTGTGTGCAGTCATTTGGGACGGTTGGGACCCAGACTCGCATTCCTGCAGCCGGCCGGCCCCCGGCAGGACGGAGAGAGCGGGGACGGGATGGAGGTGGATGAAAGTCCAGAGCGAATGCTCAACTCAAAGTTGTGTAGGAGGACGTGTGCAGAGGGCCTCAGACTAGAATTACTGAGCATAACTGTCATCACATGTAGCATAGACAGTGGCGTTTTTATATGTACAAAAGTGGTGGGGCACAAAAAACTTAGATCTCTATATATAAGCTTCTGCAGTGGCGTGCAGTGAGGTTCATGGCTGGCACTGGCTCTGACTCTTCAGGTTTACAAATATTATATTTTGACCTAAATCAAAATATAATATTATTTTCAAAAGCTTTTTTTTGTCTGATGCTTCGATTAATTTTAAACAGACAGTTCAACAGAAGGATACCCAAAAAATGTAATTTTATCATGTAAATATTGAATTGTTCTCTCTTAGTAAGATCCCATTTTCAATAAAATGGTGGTCTGACCTTGACTTGAAGATGAAGTCCATTTGCCTATCCTTCTGGACAAAAATCTCTATTACTTTTTTGTAAAAGTCCTCCTTATCTTCTTGTAGTTTCAAAAGTCAAATCATAAATCTAATCGATAGATTTATGATTAGAAAGTCATAAAAGTAGGGTAGACATGTGGAGGGGGGGGTGCTAGTGGATTGCCGGAGCTGTATTAGATCAACATTAACATGCTTATTGTAGTTGTATGTGCACTGCCTTGCGGCCTGTAGCACCATGGAGCATATGTGTGGGCTGGACCTGTATTTTACAGGAAAGGAGTGAGCAGAGGGTCCATTCATGCCAACCTTTCCAAATCCAAAAGAGGTAGGTTTGCGCGCGGCAAATGTGCACGCCCAAATTAGGTAATCAGAAGAAATGGAACCCCAGTAATTACATGTATAAACCATGTATTTAACATATATTGCATCATTTTATGCATTTTTCAGAAAAAGTGGTAGTTTGGTACTACCACTTTTTTTTCAAACAACGACATGTTTGGTCTGTAAAATGCCAGAAAAGTAAAAGAATGGGAGATAAATATCCCAAAGTCTCCACATTTTATTATATTTTTAATGTGTTTCTGGTCCTCTTTCAGTTGAGACAGTGTAGATGAAGGATGTGTCAGGATGTAGGAAAGCCAGAACTCTTGTGTGAACATTGAATAAAGCCAGGTTCATATTCTTGTTTCATGTTGTTGACATAGGTCAAAGGTTTGCACAGAGCGAAATATCTTTGTGTTGCGCCATAAATCAGAAAATACTGCATTAAAAAAGTCATTTCCTGCATTTTTCTACTGATAAAGTGTGATATAAATAATGTACAGGCTTTCAGATTGCTGAAGTTCACTAAACAGAGACATTAACGACATGTTTGGTGTTGAAAATGTCAGAAAAAGTGAAAGAATAGGAGATAAATATCCCCAAATCTCAAAATGGTATTATATTTTGTGTGTGTTTGTGGTCCTCTTTCAGTTAAGACACTGTAGGTGAAGGATGCTTCAGGAAAAGACCAAACACTGGATGTCTTTCAGTCGCCAACATGTGTTTTCGAGACACTGATATTAACGGGGAAACCCTGCAGGACTCAAATGCCTCGTCTCTGTTCCCTTAAACTCATTTGGGAGTGATTACCCATCAGCCCCGGGGGTGCAGAGGAAAGGCAGCGTTACCCCCGGTCTGCACGTTGTTTCTCTTTCAAAAACACAGAGGACTGTTTGTATGATGCGATCACAGACACGCTGCAAACGGTGTCCGCCAAAAGTTGAGTCCAGTGTCTATGTAGTGTCATTTTATTTGTTATAGTTTGGGAAGATTGAAAATCGGTAGGGAAAGCCAGCTAAGTCGGTAGGCGGTAGAA